GCTCAGAGCAGGCGCCAGCAGCACTGGGGGGATGCTGCATCTACCCCAAATTTCACAGCAGCTCCATTCCCAGAGCTGCTGCCACCACCAGCCACCCACAACAGACCTGGCTCAATGCCCCACCTCCACTCACACACTAGGAAGAGCTGGGGCTGAGCCGGGTGACTGGTGGTGGTGGCACTGGGAGTGGAGCTGTGATGAAATTTGGGGAAGATGCAGCATCCCCCCAGCCCTGCCAGCACCCGCTCCAAGCCCAGCCCCCGCCAAGAAGAGCCCCATGCAGCCCTGACTGCAGACTGCCACGCCCCACCCTGCACAGATCCAGGGGGCACATGGCCCCCCCATGCCTCCCCAGGGTGCAAGCAGTGGCAGGAGCCCCCCCCACAAGCCAAACCTCCGGCCCCCCCCACACCCCACCTGGGCAGCATCTGCCCCTGCCCCCTCCCTCACCATGGGGGTATTGATCTGCACCCCCTCCACACCCATCCCCTCCCTCCTCCCCTTCCACCACACCAGACTTACCAGCTGGAGGCAGCTGTATTGGAAATCAGATCGGTATCGCCCAATATGCCTCCATAAACATCAGCTAAAGGTATCGGCCCCAAAAATCTCTATTGGTGAACCTCTAACCCCCACTTAGCTTCAGGGCCTACCTGCAGGCCCAGCCACATATGTCCTGATCCAATCCTCACACAAAATCATAATTTTTCAGTAATGCACTTCAGAAGGTAGAATCTGCTTCCTCCTTGACATTTTTCATTGCAGAAAAAGTTGACCGTGAGGGTAGGGCAATGGAGATGTGATCATAAAGATCTGTATTCAATTTTTGGTTTTGCCACAGACCTCCTGTTCTTCTCCCCCACCCCGTATTCTCCTATTTCACAACAGTGACTTTTATTAAAATTTGCCCATTTTAGACGGAGGCACAGTAAGCTTAAATTCACTGTTTGAGAGAGATTAAATATGCGGAGGCCACAAAAGTATGAAGGTAAGACAGATAATGGATTTAGGTTTTAGCTTAGAAACTTCTTAAGTATGAAAGAAAATAAACTCCCTCTGATATATATTTTCTACCTCTCAATCAATTCAAATTGTACTGCAGCCCCTTAATTATGCTTAATGCATTTTAAAATTCTGACAGTACTTCAGAAATGAAATGCAATACAAATGCAAGGAAAAAAAATGATAAATCACTAGTGGTATACTTTGTGAATTACAGTACAAACCAGAAAAAGAAATCTGTATTTTAATTTAAACATTGAAAGGACTTTTCATCTTCCATGTAGTTTGTAAACATGAGTTATTCTTCATGCATGATCTATGTGATTCTAATAACTAAGGCAGAAAGAGGAAAAGTGACTTGCACATAACCTCACAGAAGTTTCAGGAGAAATACAAATCAAAAAAGTTTTTGCCCCCAAAGTTATATTTCCACCCCACATTACACATATGGGCTGCATCATCGCAAGCAGGGGAGTGTATCTGCAGCAGCACAAATAGCAGCACAAATTTATGCTGCTACTTTATGCCACAGTTCGTGCCCTTACCAGTGCAACACATTTTCCCACTGCTCCATGTGCTGCAGGGTGCCTCAGCACAGGGCTAGCCAGCAGGAACAATGTGGAGCCCCTATGTCGAGACGCACTGCACCCCAGCCAACTACAGAGCAGCTGGCTGGGGCACAGGGTGCCTCAGCACAGGGACTACACAATGCGCAGTGACAAGGAAGCCTGCTTCCCCATCTCCATGTTTGCCCCAGCACACGTCACTTTGTCATGCTTTGCGCCACTTTTTTTTCAGGGGGTGAAGGGGTTGCAGCTGGGAAATCCCAGTAGCAAATTTTGCCCTTGCACTCTAAATTAGCAGTGCTGAACATGGTTCAATGTGCAGTGAGTGTGGTTTGCAGTGCTGCAAACCACACGTACCTGCACATCCAAATCCAGCCACGTAATATCAAGACTGTGACACTCTGAACACCACATTACAACAGATTATTTAGACTGAATAGCACATTTTATTTTAGATCCCTACATTTCAAAAAGGGGCCAAACTAGTTATCTACCACTCTGAAAATATAGGGGGGACCATTTAGATTAATGAATATATGTGATACCAATTGCTACCTCAAGTCTCATGATGTATAGTATTTTATCTAAAGGTTTGGTGTCCAGAAGAATTATCTGGCACTCTCAGCTTTCATTTTAAAAGCAAGTTTCCAACCCCATGGCTTTCCATGACTTCAGTGGAAAGCTTGAAAATGACTGAAATGTAAAGGCTTAAGCCAGGAAGAAAAAAAGAAAAAGAAGCTTTGATTTCTATTTAAAAAATAAATTAAAAAAAAAAATCACGATTCCCTCCCCACATCCCCTCAGGATTTGGGATTAATACAATACACTGACTACTTTCAACTGTTGGGTCAAACAACTAAAACTATAAGTATGATGTTCAACTCAATATGAGTAAGTACATCTATAATCAATTCAGATCATGCTTTACTCAAGAGTATGCAAATTAAACCAAAATCAAATACTATCATTTATATCCCTTGGAGCTATAAATATTGTCTTCATTTGTTCTGGTGCATTAGATGATTTATGTTTGTATCCTTCAACATTTCTTTGACCACTGAATAAAACAACCTCACTGATAGCAGAGGAACTACAGCATGCCAGCCAAAACCTATGCTGGAGAGTTGCCAATGAAAGTCCTCAAGCAACTTTAAAAACAACTCCATGTCAGATCATTTTGTTCAGTTCCCCAACATCTTCAACCATGAAGCAACAATTGCAAAAAGGAAAATTAACTTACACACATTTAAGGTGAACCAAGAAAAATTTTTCTTGCATTTTTCACTGCACAGTGGCCCATCAGTTCAAAAGGAGTAGAGGCCCCCCACTCCTGCTCCCCTGCCCCCAGCCTTGCCTTTTACTTGATGGTTAAGACTCCCTCCTGAGAGATGAAAGATATGGGTTTGAATCCCTTCCGGCAGAGGAGGCCATACAATCCAAGTGTCTCATCTTCTTGGAGCATGCCCTAACCACTAAGAAATTACTTAGATAGTGGTCACAACTATTTCCATCTTCTCCAACTGTATTTTTGCATGAAAACTGCTGTAACTGCTGCCTTAGATGAGACAGGGACTAAGTAGCTGAGCTCAGATGATGGCAGCACCTCTGTGTGGCAACACAGCTTTAAGCACTTTAAGTAACTTCAGTCGTGAAAGTTTAGGCAACTATGAACTCTAAAGCACCAGAGCACCTCTCTACAACAAAAGGTAGTATCACAAGATATGCCACTGCCAGCCTGAGACCTGCTCCACTCATTCCATGTACAACAGCACCCAAATCAGAAGTAACAGAATCACATTAGTGTGGTTCTGCACACATGCAAATAAACTCTGTTCAGAGGCAGAGCCAATTAGCACATGTGTAGTTAAATGAGTATGGTACTGCACCACTTCTTGTTCAAAACCTAGCACCCAAGAAGTGGGTATGAACAATTTAACAAAACCTACTGAAATAGAATTTAAACGAGAAAAAAGGATCTAACATCCAGTCTCTAATACTGTCGCTGGGCACGGTAGATTGAATTGGAAGGCAATGTCCAGGCACATGACATATCACGGAAGTAAACATGAATCTAAGATGGTGGTGTCGACACAAAAGCTTCTGATTTTTCAACAGTGGGAGGATGTTCTGGGGAAGACTGCTGCCAAGAGATGGGATCTGTCTGACCAGAACATCTTTGGGCATCATCTGGCCAACCTACCAAGGACAGCTTTAACCTAGGTTCCACGGGGGGTGTTGACCAAAATGCTTTAGTAACAGAGCACACAATCCAGAGGGGAAACCACCAGAAGCAGCAGCTCAACTCTGGGAAAGTGCCACAGAACCACAGGACACCAACCACAGGTGTAAAAAGGGAAGCAAATAGGTTGAAATGCAAAATGTATCCAATGTACGTATATAAATGAAAGAAGTATGGGGAAGCCTTAGCCTGTGATAAGAACTATGATCTGATGGGGGCTGGACTAGATGACCTCCCTTCCAGTCCTACTACTTTATGACCTAGATTGCATAGCATCCAGGTACTGAAGGCTGATGTCTCAAAACTTAACGATAAGGTTTGATTCTTTTCTTTTGGAGAAGGTTGTTCATTCTGGTGTGACTGCTGGTTTTTAGATGTTTTCTATTCAGAACCCCACTCAGGCCAACAGTTTTATATGATCTCGTTCATAGCCACCATTGTTTCTGCATCATTAAGATAAGGAGAGGATTTACTGTGCCTTAACTACTCTAACAGAACTGCCCAACCATGTGAAATAAACCTGGAGCTAAAACTGCCCTTCATTTAACTTTCATGGAGCACAGAGCAGGAGCAAACACACAGCTACTGCATATCAGGGGCCCCATGGTGAAGCCCTATCTGTCCCCACAATTACTTGTTCCGCCTGGTGAATAAGATGCTTTGTGATGTTTGTGAAGGCCCTGATCTCAGGTGGAGTCACATCCCCTAGTTTGAGAACTGCTACTCTATAAAGAATACCTTTTCTTAACTGCATCCATTGTTCAGTTTGACTGATCATGCCATCTCAAATAGCTTCTCTAAGATACGCAGTCAATTATGAATTCTCTTGGTAACTGACCAAAACATGATTAATATTGTGAGAAAGTGTTAAAAATCAAATCACTTTTTGTGTATAAATGTAATTAGGTACAGAAAAAGAAAAAGAATATTGATGCCAGGCAGTCGACCCTATCCAAAATTTGCTTATATAAAAATATTGAAGAGTCTCTCTCTCAAAATGTAGAAGACAGACTTTACACAGAAACATGACCTGGACACATATAGCTTGCTTATGTCAGTCATTGTGCTCAAACAAAATTCTCTAACTTCTGGATTCTTAATTTAAGTATATTCAAATGTTTCACATACATATGCATCACTTCATTAAATTTCAAAATAAAGTAATTTATAAAACTTTTAATAGAAATTCCTACCTTGATCAGAGAGAAAATCTAGCATGGTTTGGAGAAGGAAGGACAGATGTCGGACAGAAAGAGCTGGATTCCCCATTCTTCTAGAGGCATAGACCAACTCGTGAAGTAAACGCATTTGCACTGCAGCCCATCCTCTATGAGTTCCTGCAAAATAAAACACTGGAATTCATTTATCGCATTTTTATTAAAAGCTAAAAAGTGGTTTAAAGCACAGTTATGTTTGGGTCTTCTATAGATGTGATAATTTAAAGACATGGTATATAAACCTGAAAATATTAAAAATGCAAGTCAGCAGTCAAATTTAGAGGCAAAAAACAGTAAAAATGCTTCCCCCACCCTTTCACTAGAGTACCTACTTACAAAGTCAACTTCTAAATTTAGTTGTACACTCTTGCACTACACAGTGAAGTTACATTTACAACTTAGAAAAATCAGATTATCCTTTCCCTGTGAAGTAGGAGACAGAATATGTGAAGCTTTTTAACTCATTAAGTAAGTAGCGTGCCATCAAACACTACTCCACTCACTATAAATGTTCACTTTAAATACAGAAGTTTTTTTAATCAACCGTTATTTAATTTTTACAAAGAAAATATTTATTTCAAAGAAATCTTAATAAATCAAAGAGAAACAAATATAATTTTTTCAGGGTACAGACCTAAAAAAAATTAATCTTCATGAAGGAGGCAGGGATTTTCTGTTGATGCACCACAGCAACTGCTCACATGCACACTAATGGCTACAGGAAGCTAAATCAAAGTAACTGCACTCCCAATGAAATAAGGGCAAGTTAGCTTCCAATTACTGCAGGTGAACGAGAATGACACAGCTACCAAGGAGCAGCTGATGGTGAAACCTTTCCCCATTTTACCTCCTGATAAGATGTTCATTAAACTGAACAGTTAGTTATAACAGGGCAGTTTGCAAGCAGTTCTATTGTGCCATTAATTTGATCTAGTTCTTAATGCTTGCAATACTGCTAAAAAGTATCTAGTTGAATATTTTTCTTCAGCTATTATCCTTTAACATCTGGCAAGTCTCCTTCCACAAGTTTTTAATGGAGCCTAAAATCAATATTTTAATTCTTGCTTCCACATTAGCATCAGTGCGATTATTAATTAATATTGCACGCTTATGAAGCAGCTTTGATCTCAAACACTTCAACTGCATACGCACAATTTACATAGCGATAGTTCAGTGAGGAATAGAGGTATCTTTCAAATCACTTCAGGGGTAAAATATGACAAAGCAGCAGCACAAAACAGATTAGGACAAGAAATGAAGGACTGAATGAAGAGTTTGAGTAATTCCATTCAGCTCATCTAAACTGGAAACAAGCCAGGACTCTATCATTAACAGTCCTAGTCTTGCAAAGACTGCAGTGAGTCTAGCATTCTTACTCTGCAGTAAGCTGTAAGCCTCTTACCTTCTATTTCTCATATTAATTGGCAATCAATTCTATATCGGGGCAGGCAACCCCCCACACGGGTGCCAGAGCATGGCACACAAAGGCATTTTGCTTGGTGTGCACACCTCAGCATGGACAGTGGGGATGGGGCCGGGGCTGCATTGCCATGACAAGGATCAGGCTCCTCGCAGCTCCCCTGCCATCTAGCCCTGGCACACCAATAAATTACAAACTGGGGTTGCTGGTTTTTTTGACACTGCCCAAAAACATAGCCGACCCCTATTCTATATTGTATAAAGCTCCCAAGTTATATTCTTCAGACAACCTACCAGGAACTAGAATGAATGAAAGAGGACCAGGGACAGGCGAGGACAGACGCAAGAGTTACAAAAAGCACTAGAAAGTTCTAAAGACAGGGGGGAGACACAGGTATGAAACTAGGTAAGGTGGGAAGAGACGTGAAAAAGCAAGATCTTATGACATTTCAGAATAATAGAACAGAAAAAAAAATATAAATCATTTGTTCAGTCACTCTTCTTCAACCATAAGGATACTTGAAGTGATCACTGTGGTTCAGTGAAGTAACTAAAAGCCAGCAGTCATTAAACGCTTGGAAACATGGTTCAAACAGGGAAGATACAGACCCACAACTGCTATTTACATGTTCTAACTTAGTGGAAGACCTTCAAAAGATCTTAAGGCAAAGGTGAAGAAAAAACTGAGGTCAGTTATAATGGGTTGAACTGGATACGTCATTTCCATTTATTCTCAAACTACAAAATAGGGTCCCAATTTGCTTTGAAGAACTGAAAACCCTTGACATGTCTAGACATCACTGCTAGCCAGGATTTCTACGTATGCTGCTATTCAAACGTGTTTTAAACTACTAAAATAAAAAAACAGGACATTTAAATAAGGTGTGAAAGAGACATTAACCTTAGCTGCTGTGGGACCAGCAAATGCTTGCTGCTTAACCATCATTATAATATGCTCAATAATTTGTCTTGTATGAATCATCTTAATAATTATGTTATTAAACTACTTTACTTATACTCCAAATTAAGGAATCCTTACAATCTTCTCAGAGGATACATCTGACCCATGGTTGAAAGCATGAATAACTCACCTGCTGCAACAGTAGGTAGCAAAATATGAATGAGATGGTGCACAAGAACCAAAAAGTGATGCCATGAACATCACATGTATTGAAAGTAATAGGAAACCAGTCTACTGTTTAGGACTTCTTTCCAGGAACACTTGCAGAAAAAAGTAGTATGCAAAAACTGCAATAAAAGGAACTATAACCAGAGTCTGATATTCAACTTGCAAAGAATTTATAAATAATATTAAATGAATTGCCCTTCAAAAATAGATTAACTAAAACAACTGAATAACCAGGCTAATGCAAAAACTTTTAGAAAGTAGAAAAATCAAGACAAACTAAAAATGTAGACTTGTGTTACAGCAGTTCTCCACTAGAACAATATTAATGCTATAGCAATGAAGATCTAACTCAATAAAGTAAGTGTGAATTTGGAGAGGGGGGAAAAAAAATTATCCCTGGAACAGTCATATCCAGCACACCATGTCTGTACCATGATAACACATGATAGTCAAATGTGACTTTCCAGTCATGAACAAATCAATGTTTTCCTAAATGGAAGAGACCATCGTAAGAAATATTTATTGCTGTTCACTTCTGGAAAAGAAACACCAACTGACATCATTCATATGATTACAAATTGTTCCCCTTACTTGCTCTGCTGTATCAAAGTTAGTCTATACACCTCTCTCATGAGGGAACAATTTTTTTGCAGCTTTTCAGAAGATAAAGATAAAAACCATCATCAATAATTGTAGAGAACATCCAGTGCAGGCAGATGCAAGTGGATGGAAACAATAAGATAACGTACTTGAACAGTCAGTAGTAGTTCTCAGATATCAGAATGTCAGGTTTGTTGAACAAACACCGCATCAGTATAAGGTAAGATGAACGTGCTTCTTTACAGAACTGCTCCGATTACCACATCTAGACTGAGGTAGATAGAAGATACTATTTCTCTTCAAGTCTTCCAAGCAACTTAGTTGCAGGGGGTGGTGGGAAACAAAATCAAGCACCTAATCGAATATGCGAAAACCTACTATCCCACAGAGGCTTACCTTTGCTGAAGTCCTTAGGATCCAAAGACAGACTATAACCAGGAAGCGTTTCCAAAAGCAATTTGTAACAGGCCCTCCAACCAGGCTCTGGTATGCTGGGTGCCACACACTGCATTGCTGCTATACGTTTGAAGAAAGCGGACTTTCGGTGAAAACCAATACGTTCATATAGCTCAGAAAGAATGCTGTAACGCTGAATTTTTTCCTCTTCAGAAAGCTGACATTTCAAGGGAAAGAAAAAAAGAAAAAAGAGAAACTAAGTACTTTTTACTAAAGCATTCATTTATTAACTAGAGGATACACTGGACAATAAAAGGAGCCAATATTACAGATTTAAAGGATGATGCTAGTGCTAGAGATTATTTGCATCTTCTTCAGTGCCTGTGTGCTGAATTCTATACAGAGTTGAAACAATGCCTGCATTTTCTAAGACTTTTTCTATATTTCCCACAACTTCTGTGGGCTAGGAGTTGAAGCGGACAGACTCAGGAGAGCTGGGCTCTATCCCAGCTACACCACTGGTTTGATGGCCAGTCCTGAGTCACGCTTCCCCTCGCTATGTCTATCAGTTCCCCACCATAAAGTACTGGTGGTGATAGCAATGCAGACTTCCTCAGTAAAAGACTAAGAAATCCATGGATGAAAAGTACTGCAGGAAAGCTAACTGTTCTTAACAGATGACACTAAAACTACATTTAAAACAAAGGGTTGCTTACAAATAACATTTTAACATATCATTTATCACAAAGTAAATGAGCAGCTTATGGTCGTGTTCGGGTGACCTTGTGGCTGTAATGATCCAGGAAAAATGCGACGGAAGAATCTTTGTGCACGATATCTTTTATTGGACCAATGCTAGTTGGGAGGGACATGGACAAGCTTTCTGGTACCCCAGAGCCCTCCTCAGGTCAGTTTATGACAAGCAGACATATCAGAGCATCTTCAAAATAAAAGAGGAATTTTAGCTAAACAGAATTCACTTGTTCATATTACAATTTGGTTAGGAAATTAAGGCTGAAGCTCCTAACCTGGTATTAAAATATATATCATTGCCCTGAAATGAACAAAATCCCTTCATCACAGTTACTGATAGATATTGAAATGCTATAGTCAAGACTTATAAGTAGAAAAGACTTTAATGTTCATTTTCATCTGATATAAAGTTTCCAGCAGCATGGCATCCCTTAGTGTTGTAATTTATTTTATCAACTCTTTGCTAATACCTCTTTGTGAATCACCAGTATCACTTAGTGACAGCCTAGTAGTGTTCCTTCCAAACCTTGCTAGGCAAATGCTGCCCTCCCTCTTAACTTATGAAATATCATGAGATCACAGTACACGATGGTATGACTAAAGGAAATATACCACCGAGTTCCCAGCTACAATGCAACTTCAGTTACTCTTTTAATACAATATTCACCTTTTTTTCTAACCTTCCAATTCCCCAGTCATAATCATCACATCCCCTCCCATCAGGAAACCAGAGAAGTAATTAGATTTAAAGCCACTGGTAATACTATTTTATTGCATTCTTTCAGGTGCAAGACTGGTTTGAATTTAGTTCCGTTTTGGATCAGTCTATCGCACAGTAGTGCCGTGATCAAAAGAGGTTTTCTGGCAGACAAAAATGTTACGCATCACTGTGGACCTTTTTTGTGAGAAAGCGAACCTAGGCTAGATTTATGGTCATCATTACTGCACAGGAACAAAAAAACACTCATGTTAGAAATACATTCATTATTACTCAGTGACAGCCAAACCCAACTGTCTGTCTCTCAAAGACATTAGCAGCATTAATTCATGCATATGAGACTAACTCAAAAATACTTATTTCCTAGGATCACGTACAGATATACCAGTTGGTTGGTTTTCAAACCTTCTTCAAAAAAAAAAGGAAAAGACCATACTACCATCCCAGGAATCTTGGAGACTGAACACATTATTGATAATAGGTCTCCGTGCTTAATTTTTTCTTTAATTTCAAATTAGTGGAAAAAAAAATCATTCTAGGCAACAGCAGATTATCAAATAGGGTCAGGAAGAAAGTAGTGAAAAGTTTAGTCTTGACATAAATCAAAAATCTGAAGAACTAACTTGATCAAAAACGACCAACTTGCTATTTTACAGACACTCTACTTTTGGTAGAAAAATCTCAACAGAGATCATTATTTCCTCTCTTGCGTGAGTGGCAAGCTTTCACTGAAATCAGACAACTAGAGAAAGGTATCTTGTTTGGGAAAACTCAGAGGCTACTAAACAATATTTCAGTTCCACAATAAACCCAATAACAAGCAGTAACATGATCTTGCAATGGATCACTGCTGACACCTAGTGTACATTGTACAGTTTGAACAAACCATCATGGTGCAAGGCTTCAAATATCTTCGAAATTAACCTGTTTTTACTGGATATTTCACAATGATTTCAAGTGAGAGCAACTTCACTCAGGAAAGTGACAACTAAGTGTAAGTGACAAGGCAAGGTTTTCTGGTGATACCTTCTATTGGTCCAACTGTATTGCTGGGAGAGACGTTAGACAAGCTGGGGCTGGGCACAACCTTGCCTTAACAATGAATGTAAGGTTTGTCAACACATCTCTATTGCCATGACAAACAACACCCTGCACCACCGCGACAAAGCCAATGATTCTAACACATTTAAATCAGAGAATGCAGCACCAAACGTCCTCATGGAAACTATGCGGGTAAAATCAGACAAATACTCTAAACAAGAATAAAACCCCTTTCACAGAAAATAAATAAATAAATAAAGGACAGAGACATGCAAACACTGGTAGGGGAACACCTCAGGAAAAGTGAGATTTGCCCCCCCTCCCTTTCTGATGTCACAATTCTAGTGCTTGCAGCAAATCTACAGAGCACCTTCAAAAAATGAGTTTAGGAATAAATTTTTTGTAACCATTCCTGACCATGTCTCTTTGCTCCTGCTTTATAACCCTTCTCTATTCTCTTAGTGGTTTGCAACCAGGGTACTACACAACATTCGCAGTCAAGTATGTGTACACCTACACACAACTCACAAGATAAACCCAGAGATTTCAAATAGGAACACATTGCATCAAAAACATTCAAACTTGTTACAGCCTGAATTCTTTTCAACAGATGACTTGTTCTATTGTTTCCATAGTCAAAAAAGAGTGAAAGCTTAAGAGTCTGCATTTTCTGAGGGGTGCCTCAAGTCTAGTGAGATTGAAAGCCATTGCATTAATCAGACTGTTTTCATTTATATATATCTATATCTATAGGGTAACACACACATTTTTCTTCTACCTGCTCTTTAGCTCAAGCTGTGCCCACTTCTCTACCAGACATGAGGAAGACATTCTGAAACCAAAAGCTTTTCTAACATTTTTCCTGGATGTAACAGAGGGGCCTTCTCAAGGCCGGTCTGCCACTGAGCCAACCGCCCGCCTTCTCGCCTGCCATGTCTTAATGATACATAATTATGGTGTTAATTAGGCGGGAGGCTACTATCTGCGACTCCATTCCACCCCTACACCGCAGCCCAAGTCCTCGCAAATGGCATCCAGATGACACAATGCTCCCGGCCTACAGCTGGACCAAGCTTAGCCCTCATTGTCGGGCCTCAGACACACACGCATTCATACCACCCTCCTCTCACCAGGGCCTCTCACGTTTCACCCCCTCTCACAGGGTCTCTTTCACACATCAACAACTTGTACCACCTTGCTCCCTCTCAGAGTGGGCCCCTTCAAGCTTAGGCTTTATCTAGCTCATACCTTGGGTGGCAGATGTACCGTCTTTTGGGCCTCTCCTGCAACCCTCACCAGGGTAGCAGCCAGCCAATTGCCCGACCGGGTCCACGCTTGCCCTGGCACCTCCCAGGGCAACTCTACACACACACACACACACACACACACACACACTGAGCTCCCAGCCCTCTTCTCCGCCCCCTCACTGGGGTCCCTCTTCTCTGCCCCCTCACTGGGGCCACGGGGCTTCCCTCCCCAGTGGGGGCTCAGGTGGCCATAGCCAAGTCTGGCCCCATCTGGGTCTTAAACCCTCCTTCGGCTCAGGTCACCGTAGCCATGACTGGCCCCTTTGTACCCACATTACTGTGGGGGCTAGGAGTTAAGGCGCACCTACCCACCTTTCACTGGGGTGGTAACTGGCCTGGCATTTCCTGGGGACTCCCACACCACCAGGAGCCCCACCACCCATCCCTGACAGCGTGCAGTTTTAGGTCATGCCCAGGAGACTCCAAACCATCCCCTTAAGCTCCTGCCTTTACCTCCAAGATATTGCATACAGCCTTGCAGCCAAGCAATTTTTCTGCCTGGCCTGCCAGCAGCAAACCGCTCTGTTTATATAGATGACCAGAGTTCTAAAATGGCTGCCGTAATCAAGCACCTGCTGGCTGCTTGCTCAGCCCTTAAAGTGGCAGGCACCACCAGTGCCCTTTCACATCTGACTACACATTTGATCAAATAAAAGGTATCACAAAAAAAACTCTTGCCTCTCATATTTCCTAGACGATCACAGATAGTAACACTTAAACAGGATTGGAGCGATGATGCAACTTGAAAATATCGTAAGTTAGAGTCTAAAGCCACAGAAAACTACCTCAAACGTAAGAAGATTCCATTCATTATAAAACCTTTCATAATTAAGTATTAACAAAATAAAAATGTAGACGTTATAAATTAATTTAAACACCATGTTCAGAGCACATGTCACTGATTTTTACTCTAATTGCAAATAGTCTGCTAGCACTTTTTGAAAACATAGGTTTGGGTGCTCTACTTTCAGATACTACAGAGGCTTTTCAGAACATTCCAAATACCTGTTCTTAGCATGTTGCTCAAAAGGTAGTTACTCGGAAATGGAGACATTGAAAATTACTTGTCACTTTAGAACAGTGGTCTCCACACTTTTTATGGTGAAAATCACTTTTCGTAAGTGAAGGGCACCCCAGGATCTACCCCTCTTCCCCCACAACAAGCCATCTAGGCTCTGAGCCCACTCATCCAGCCTGGCCTGTGCAGCAGGGGGCATGGCTCAGCCCAGCCACGTGCGTCCTGCCACTCCTGATTGTGAAGCCTCTGACAGACTGAGATCAACTGCCAGAGGCTCCACAATTGACCGGTCGATCAAGATCACTGCTTTAGAAAAACTGGGGTGATACATATGATCTGAATAAAAGCTCTTTTTCTAAGAGCTATCAGCACAAGAACAAGAACTCCCATAAAGAGCATAATTAAGAAAACGTAGGGTGCATTCATAAAATTTAAAATCAATACCAACCCTTCAACCCTCCTCACTGAACCATTTGACACACAGGTATAAAGGAGGACAATTTCACAACAATAAAAACAACCCAAGTAAATAAGTTGGAAGAAGATTAAAATGAGTAGTGAATAATAATTGAGAACCGTCTAAGAACATTTTCCTAGATTTCTAAAAGCCAAGGTCTTGGAAAAAGGCTATGCTTGTTCATCACACACACAAGAAAGACTGGAAGTCAACAGTAACAAAAAAACAACACCTAACCATTTTAGAGAATGGATAAAATGAGTTAAAGGATGCAGGAACAATCTTATTACCAGGAAAGTATTTTTGAGTATTCTAGGGAAAGAAGAAACCCTCATAATGACATGGCTCCCTTACTAAATTGAAACAGTAGAATTAGCCATCATAATGCAACATATGTAGAAGTGGGGGAATACTTAGCATCCCAGAAGGATGCTCAACATCAGCCTGCTAAAGTGAGACACTTAAACCGCAGTTCCAAAAAACTTGCATCCAAGAGGTAAAGCAGGCAAAGAACTCTGGACTATTAATGCCGATTTTCAACAACTCTTCAAGTTCCAGAAGAATGAAAGAATGCTAATATGTTAATATTTTTAAAGAGCAACTGGAATGATTGGATTATTTTCAGCCTGTCAGCCAGAAACTGATCCTACACAAAGTTAAGAAACTGATATGGGACTCTTAATAGAGAGTTATAGGATATCAATATAGTTATTGAAGGAGCGCTCCTCTAACTTGATAGCTAACTGGGACAAACAAGAAATCCCACTGAGATGACATAGCCAAGAGGTTCAGTGCAATATACAAACCATTTATTTTAACAGTTTATTGAGTAAAGAGGGCATTACTTCTATATATGGTAGTGATATTACTGCTAGCAAAACAGGGCATCCAAGTCTGGTACCCACAATTCAAAATGGACACTGGGGTAAATAAATAAATACTCTGCTTATGTAGAGTTTAGATTATGGCCTGTATGGGATGATTTGAATAGAGATGATCCCGCCTATCCCCTGAGGGCCGGGGGGCTTTAAACAGTGCAGCTCCAAGAGCTGTGCAAATTAAAACGCCCAGAGCATCACGTGCATCAGTATCCCCGTGTTGAAAAGTGGCGGCAGGGTGCTTTGAACTAAAGCTGGCTGAACAAGCTTTAAAGCACCCGGCTGCCGTTTTTCAGCACAGGAACGCTGCTACACATGATGCTGGAGTCTGCTGGACTGTGGTAACTTCCACGCTCCAGCTGACTTGATTAGACAAGTCTGCTCTAACACGCTGGATTTACAGTGTGTCAGAGGAGCCCCCCTGTAAGTATGCAAGAGCCCTATGATTCTAAGAAAAAAGAGGGGGAGAGGGGCAAGATTCACAGAGTGCCGCAAGAATCAAAGGATTAGAAAATATGTCTTACACTGCCAAACTGAAGATCCTCAGTCAGTTTATTTTATCAAAAAAATGATCAAGGGATGACTGCAAAGCAATCAATCAAAAACAGTAATTTAAGAGGGCCCTTCATTCTACAACAGGGGTAGGAAAAATGCAGCCCGCAGGCCAGATGCAGCCTGCCAGGCCATTCTATCTGGCCTGTGGAGCCCATAAAAAATTTTGAAAATTAATATTTATCTGCCCCTGGTTGCCTGTCATGCAGCCCTTGATGGCTTGCCAAAACTCAGTAAGTGGTCCTCCGTCTGAAATAATTGCCCGCCCTGGTTCTACAAGATAAAGGTACATACTGAGAACCAACTCCAGCAAGCTAAGGCTACATACACATGTTCAAATGATCCAGGAGAATTCTCCCAGGTTAGTTTTCCTGGTAGTGAACAGGCATTCTGGGACAGATATTCCCATGCCAGGCCGGGAATTTCCTGAACAGATGTTCCAATCCCAAGCCACTGCACAGCCAGGGAGCCCTTGTGAACATGAGGAGAAGCCTTCTCAGGAGCCTTTAACCTTTATTGTTCCCAGGTTATTTTTCTCCTGGAGTGGCCATTTTTGCTCCGGAAGAGAAATCCTGAACAGCCTTATATTAGTGGTTTCTACTGGGGAAGCAGCAACTCTCCCAAAACAAACTGAAATGTTTGCACATGGCCTAAAGCTGAACAAATTCAGGCTAGAATCAGACAAAACATTTAAGAGTGGGGATAATTAATCATTGGAAGAACTTCCCATAATTTTTGTAATTGTGACTGAATGTTTCTCTAAAAGATATGCTATAGTTCAAACAGGAATTCATTCCTGGGAAAGCATTTTCTGGCCTTACAGTCTATGAACTTTTAAAAAATAAAAATAAAAAGGTACACCCTGGACTAGATGACACTGTGAAGTCCCTTCCAGCCATGCTGTTCTATGATCCTATGATACAACTATGGAAGCAAAGACATTTGAAACATGGTACTTGTTATTTCATGTGGTTCAGCTGGGTTTGGCTACTGTTAAAATAAACCTCAAATTACAAAGTACCTTCCATTTTCAGAAGCACTGAGGACATATTCTAACCCACCTAAGGTGCATAAGTCAATTTAGGCACCTACCTGCAATCCTATTCCATCCTGGTCAAGTCTCTGAAAAACTGTTAAGGCAGGTGGGTCCTCCTCCTCCAGGTTTTTTTGTGACTTGGTCTTAAGAATCAGATGATGGTGTGTTACAAAAGCAGACATATTAATATATTTCCAGGGACTTGGAACAGGGTGGAATATAGTTTCACTTAGGCATTATTGGCTGTATAAGTGGATTTAAGTGGAATACAAGCTGGCCTCTGCTTCTCCTAGTCTGCTTTTTGGCAGCCTATTATGGACCAGACTTTAAAGAGGGCAACTTCCTGTTTGATTTTCAATTATCCCTCATTGTATTAAAGAAAAAACTTTTAAGTGGTTTCTTTTTCCTTGTAATTGGATGTAGTAATTTATTCTTCATAATTAGATACACAGATAAGTCTTATTATAGGAAAACTCCAGGGTAATATAAGTAAGAAGTCAATTACATAATTTCATTTAGTATGGGTAGGAGACTGCTTATAACAGACGCCCTTCCAATCACACACACACTTTTATTGTGGTGAGGTGCTCTTGTCTGTCTGGTACTGTTTGCAAATTATGATGCTGATTCCATTTCTTTCCTTTAAAACAAGATGCTTCTTCCTTTATGTTAATGAAATCAAGAGAACGTTTCACCTGGAGCAGTGCACCCAGTTTTGGGCACCACACCTCAACAAAGACATAGACAAATTGGAAAGAATTCAGGAGAGCAATGAAAATGGTTCAAGGTATGGAAGGAAACACAGAGCGAAATACTGGAAGAACTGAGAGTATAAACCTAGAGAAAAGAAAGAGACAGAAAGAGCTGATAACCTTCAAACACAAACAGGGCCTATATAAAGAGGACTGTGATCAACTGTTCTCTGTACACAAAAGGGACAAAAGTAACGTGCTTAAACTGAAACAAGAGAAATTTAAGTTAGAATGTCCTTAATATCTAACTATGAGGTTGGTTAAATTCTGCAAAATATTACCTGAAAAGGCAGCCTCCATCAGCAGAAGGTTAGGCAAGCGTGTTAGACATGCATTTACCTGAGGTTGGTTAAAAGAGGAAGGCTCCTAACATGAGCAGAGGGTTAGACTGGGTAAGGCATTGGCAACGCTTTATGTCGGGGAGGGGGTTGGGAGTGCTGAAATGATACTGCTCGAGTCAGAGGTAGGTAGGCATTAGGACCAAGCTGCTCCCACCCACTACTACTCCCTGGCACTCAGCTGCACCATGGAGCAGCAAGAGTCCCTCTCCACCAAAGCTCAAGCCACATAACCACAGCATGACACAGGAGGAGCTCCCCCTCCATCAGAGCCCCAGGCAACCGACTGTGGTTCAGTGCAGGAACAGCTCCCCCTCCGGCAAACCTAATCTGTCTTGCATCATGCAGGCCACAATTTCACCTGCTGATTTTTGTAATCAAGTCAACAACTTCTGATCAATCTATGGCACCTTTTTATATAAAAGCTTCAAGTAATGGAGGATCTGTCATATTCCACAATGAGTAATTTTAATCAGTTAATTTTTCTCATTTAGAAGACCACGTCCTTTATTTCTAATTTGAACTTGTGTAATTTTAGCTTCCAGCTATGGATATTGTTAGGCTTTGCTTATTGGACTAAATGACCCTCTACCACCTCTCCAAGTACATATGCCTAGATCTTACATTACAAATTTTCCTCTTTTCTTAATGTGTACACTGTAGGAATTATTCTCCAACAGAACTTGGTTTTAATTGAACAGCTCTTGGTACATTTATGTAGACACAGGCAGTGCGAGACTTTTCAATACATCTTTTTGACACGAAAATACCTCTTAAATCACATTTAGTCTCTACTTAATGAAGAACAACACCAATAAAAGCCTTCACTTTCAAAAACCAAGCCCTCACACATTTTAGATAAATCAAGGTTTTATTTGCTAATGTTTTTAACAAGTTTTGAGATGCCTGGATGTTACTGGTCTATCAAGGAGCTAAGCATTATTTGTCAAACAGAAAAAAAAAATCAACGTTTTTAAATAGTAGATTATGCACTCACCTGACGAAGGTTGATATAAACTGCACCCTGAAGAAGCTCAGAAGCTTCCATGCTTCGTTTCTGTATTGCCAAGACTCTCACTGCCTTCACACAGGCTTCCAGCTCAATCACACCAGCATTCTTATACTTGAAAAGAAAAAAGAACAATAACTATGATGACAAATATGAAAATGTGCCTCTCCCTTAGACGCAGTAATGCCTCTACCCCCAAACCTCCTCAACACACAAATCAGGATTTTCATTTCATCAAAACCAAATAACTACCTCTTACTGTTGGCTATCATATTGGATTAGCAACCTATGATGCATGCCAATGAACATGTGAAAATTAAGCCCTAGATCAGTGGTTTTTAACTTGTGGTATGTGGATGACTATGATCAACATGAATACCCACACATACAATTCAAAGGGGTCTGGTACCTCCATTCAAAAAGTTTAGAGGCCCACAAATGAAAAAAGGTTGAAAACCACTACTCTAGGTCATCTATCACAAAGTAATGGAGCAAAACTAAATGCAGCTACTTTCTTACCTCAACTATATTATTAATTAGACATTGAAAGCAGAATTTTGATTCGAGAAAACAGATGGATCAGGGAAAAGTTCAGAATATTTTCATATATGTTACAAATCTTTATTATATTAACAGTAGAATACCATCAGCAAACAAGTTATACCTGGACAAATATAAATGGCTCAAAAGCAAGAAGTTATTAATATTTCTCAGTCAGCTTTACAGTGGTCCTTTTCCAGTCAAGTTCTCTTATAGCTTTGAATCAGAATTCTATATTGTGCCTTTTCAAATTACTTAACTACAAAACACTTGAAAAAGCTTATATAGAAGTGCCAAGAGGGTACACGTTTCCATTTTTCCTCAAAGTCAATAGAACTATAGGGCCAGGCTGGAACAACAGTGCCAGCTCTGCACCACGGCAACAGGGCAGGGCTGGAACCCTGCTCTGTGCCCCGGGCTGCAGCCTGTTGGCACAGGTAAAAGGTAAGGGAACTGAAGGTGAGCCACAATGCATTTACTTTACCAAACAAAATTGACAATGGTCATGCAAAAGTTTGTCTGGATGATCTAGAGTATAGGTTGTAGCAGTGTTGATCTAAGGACATATGCAGACAATGGCCTTAGACCAATACAACTACCAACTATTTGAGTTGGTCTAATAAAATATGTCCTTGGTCTATGTCCTTAGGCCAAGGGCTTTGGGTAAATCTGATATCTTTTATTAAACCAACTCAAATAGTTGGTAGCCATGTTGGTCTAAGGACACAGGCAGACAATACAGCTACCAACTACTTCAGTTGGCCTAATAAAAGATATTAGATTTACCCAAAGAACTTTGTCTGTCTCTGGATGATCTGAACACTGGAGAATTAACGCTGTGTTTGACTATGATTATAGAAGTTAAGGATAGGAAATTAATGGGGTAAACACTTCTCAGAACGAAGAAGCATGAGAACCTCAGATACCGGGCAGCTAAAAAGCAAGGCCATGTATTTCAGTACCTGAGGGGAACCTCAAGAATGAAAAAGAAAAGGGAAGGTTCTACAAAAGCTCCTTAAAAGTTACGGGGAAGACATGCAATACTATTTAGATGGAGCTGCTACTTCTACACTAGAACCAGAATTTACCCTGCTTGTCACTATTACACAAAAATCATTGGGAAGCATAGGCATACTGGATACTTGGAAAATGCAAATACATCCTAAGTAGTCATAGGGCTGTGGTTCAATATATCATTTGAGACATATCACTTGTCAACAAATTACTGTGCGACTCAGAGGATAACTGACACCAAATTGAAATGAGGGCCCTATCCCATAATACAAGTCTCACAATCCCATATTTCCAAAAATAAGATCCTGTAATTGCATAAAAGATCACATGTATCCTTGAATTAACTTCTCAAGTCATCATCATTGCAATACTCTTCAGTATAATTTAACATTTTTATCTTTATTTGGAGATGGGCCTCATGGTTTTTAATCCCATAACTGCACTGTTTTTCAAAAAGCCTTTTTACCATTTTACAACATTTTAAGAAACATTTAGACTCTAGGGGAAAGGAAACCTGAAGTGAACAAAATGCTGAAATACAGCTGGTCAACTTTATAACACAATTCAAGTAATCTGTAGAAAAGATAAGGATACCCAACTAATTCCAACACAGAATTTAGTATTGTTCACCTTTTTCACTGTAAAACAAACCAAACCAAAAAAACCCCCACACAAACCAAAAAAAACCCCATTTATAACCATCTTATTACCACATAGTCAAAGGAGGTAGCCAAGAAACAAAACTGGAATAAAGCATGATGAATGACTAAAGACTGTGAAGTTTCTTTTCTTCTTTTTAAGATCAGTTTATTTAACAACATTTGTTCTTCCCAGTTCCTTAGTTCTATTTATTCAGCTATGCTCTGAATATTTGCCTCCAGAAACAGTTGATAAAACCATGGTTCCATTACTTGCAAGCCCTTCAATAAGGTCTGCAAGGCATCTCTCAAAAAGACTGTCCTAGAACATGCACAGTATATTAATATCCAGCTTACACAGTGAAGTAGAAGTATCAATGGAACTGAATATAAATATTCAAAGCATGAATGCACCTTAAGGTTTTTCAAATGATATCTGTCATTTGTAGAACTTTTTATGTTTACATGATTAAAAAGTGCAAACCGATTAATTCAAAGACACCATGCAAAAGCAAGCATTGTATACAGTACAGACAACATATTCTATGGTTACTATTTTTTTTGTTTTAACGCTCATGTGTTTTAAAGCACAAGTGTACTGACAATGCATCAAATTTGCGGAAATTTCTCATAACACAAACTGCATTACCTTGCTATAGTAAGAAATGGCTTCTTTATATTTATCGATGATGTCTTCAGGGCTAAGGCAGTTCTTGGCACGACCTATTTCAGCACTGGTATCAGCATTTATGCCATTTGAAGTAAGGGCACCTTAAGTGAAACAGAGCAGAGATCGAGCACAAAGCCTCTAGTTAAAATTAAGCACCTGTAAAAAAAACTAAAATAAAAAAGTAGGTTTGTGTGAAGTATCCATAATGAATATTTAAAGAAACTAGGTCCTGGTTGGGTAAGTAATCTCTCAGTAATATTAATCCTTACTAAGAACTCATATGAAAAATTAATTTATTTATAAAATGGCAAACAGGAGATAACTACTCAGTTATTAAAGAACATTAAATATATTAACATATAGCCTTTTACATCCCCTGAATATCCATATTATGAAAAAATTATTAGACTATGCTTAAAAGAATTAAATCTTTGAAAAAGGTCTTCCATTAGCACAATTTTCATTTTTATTTTAAAATTTCATTTACACATTTATAAAATCTGTGTGTAGAACAATTTAACATAATACATTCTACTTGCCAAAATGATCAAGCTTCCTTTAAAATGAACTCCTTAAGTCTGAGGCCCAGAAAAAAGCACAGGAAGACAGGTAAGCCTTGCAGCATGTCCCAAAGGTCTTCAAATACAAGTCTGCCATACATGGCCTGCGGAAGCACGTTCAAGTGTGGAGGAGAGCCTAACCTAGCAAACCTCAAACAGCTTCCCTCCAACTAAAGGACTCTTCAGCGTGAGTGTTACAGATGATGGAACGAGGAAATCAACTATCTTAGTCCAGATCTGAACCATTTTGGGCTTTCGTTTAAAGATGATGGAAGGCAAGTTTTATGAAATTTACATTTTATATATAATTTTCCCGGTGACTCTCAGGTAATTTCACAAGGGTACATGAGACAGTTTTCACAGCTTCATATATGCAAAAGAAAGGAATATATATAGGGCCTGACAAAGAAGAGAGCAAGTCCATTTCTAGAGGTTAAAACCTATTACAGTTAGCACAGTGAAGAAAACATTTAGAAAGACTTATGCACCTCTTTTGATAATCATGTAAAACCTAGCCTCTGGGATTCCAACTCCATGCCTGTATCTATACTACAACAGTATCACAAAAGCTCTCTCTGCTAAGCTAGTCCAGAGAATTTTGCATTTTCAACATCTGGACTTTAAAATGCAATTGCAGTAAAGTGTATGAGGGTAAAAAACCCCCACCTTCTTACTCAACACCTGCATCTTCTGTGGGGTCAGAAAATTATACTACCCCGATGGACAGAAAAAACCAAACAACCTTTTAATGTACTTTATTTACTCAACAGGAAGATGAGGATTTTTTCCCCCAAACAGCATAAAGAAAAAGCTCCTTGCCTTATATTTGTATACAGGGAAACCTCATTAAATATGCTGTCTATCATTAAACTGCTGCCAAAAGCAACATGTGCTCAGTAATGGAAACCAGCTAAGAAGTTGATTAAATGAAGCCGACACTGAGCATGACTATAAAACACATGGCCTGTATGTGACAAATATATATATTTTTTTTACAAAAATATTTATTTCTATATATAGTAAAATTCCTGTTATCCACGATTTTACTAACTGGCACGCTCTGCTAACTGGAATTTCCGGCCAGCTGGATGAGGGGAGGCGGAGGGCAGGGGGAACTTTGCACGTCACGGCTGCTGCCACCACCCACTACCCAGCACTGCCGCTGCTCTGTGTGAGGCTACAGCCCCCACCCCCCGCTCTGCGTCTAGCTGGGAACCCCTATGCCTCAAGGAGCCGGCATTTTTAGAACACCTGAACCCCCCCATTCCCCACTCATGCCGGATAGAAGGGATTTTACTGTATATAAAAATCTGTATCTCGATATCTATCTTGATTGATCAATCGATCGAGATTGAGATCTCTATAACTGTACTTCTAACAACCTGTCATGTGACCATTGTAGTTCACTTGACAGACCAAAAACACACTTTAACAGTTAAACAGGCCTTTTACAACGTTTGCACAGCACACCCATTACCATTCCAGTGTTTTCGCTCGTCGTCACCATATTAGTCATAGTTGTCTTCGTCACTGTCTTCACCATTGTCCTCTTCATTGTTCTCTTTGGAGGACTTGCTTCTGAAAAGTCTGTGCCAGTCCCCTCTCTTCCATATGAGGTCCACCATCTCTTTCCCATCATCCTCTTCCATCTTCCTGTAGTACCAGTTCATTTCACTCAGCCCCATTTTAATACAGTCCTCAACTGTGTGGTCTGAGTGCCTGTCTGTGAGCAGGCTCCTGGCCTTCCACAGGGCATACCTGAAGCAGGAGATGAACTGGTCGAAGCAGGCTGTCAGGGCCCCTTGCTGTTTGGTCAAGTGCCCATAGAGGATCGCTTCTCTGGTCCAGGTCCTGAAACCCATCACCACCAGGAGGAGTGCACATATTTTCTTCTACACCTCACTGGCATATAGATTCATAGATGTTAGGGTCGGAAGGGACCTCAATAGATCATCGAGTCCGACCCCCTGCATAGGCAGTAAAGAGTGCTCGGTTTAGATGACCCCAGCTAGATGCCCATCTAACCTCCTCTTGAAGACCCCCAGGGTAGGGGAGAGCACCACCTCCCTTGGGAGCCCGTTCCAGACCTTGGCCACTCTAACTGTGAAGAAGTTCTTCCTAATGTCCAATCTAAATCTGCTCTCTGCTAGCTTGTGGCCATTATTTCTTGT